GCACCAAGCCCCCCCCCCCCCCCCGCCCCCCCTGAAGGCTGGAGGAGCCACCCCAGCCATGCTGGCCAGCCCGAATCCCAGGCCAGACCAAGCACCGGGCACCAGCTGGCCCATGCACCAGCCCAATCACCGGGCTGCTGGCCCAACACCCGGGCCAGCCTGAGCCACTCCAGGCCACCAGCCTGACCCCCTGGCCACTAGCCAGCCTGAGCTGCCCCAGGCTCTGGCCGCCAGCACCGGCCCAAGTCCCAAGCTCCATGCCCCCAGCTGGAGCTTCAGGGGAGAGAGGGAGTGAGGGCAGGGCCTCAGGGCAGAGTGTGGGCAGGGCCATGGCCTGGGTTAGGGGAGGATTGGCCCCTGTAAGTCCCACCCAGACCTGCACCCACCTGTATCATCCAGCACTCCCAGGCTGTTCCACACACAGCTCTATCCACCATTCCTGGGGGTTCCCTCCAACTTCCTGCTGCCCTGCAACCCCCACGCCCAAACAGAGCCTGGCCACGACCTGGCGCAGGACCTTGCCCTTTACCTGGCCAGGGGAATGGGGTGCAATGCGGGGAAGGCTGATGGGTAGGATTGCAAACTTTTCAATTTCTGAAAACTGGACACTACAGCAGGAGTGTCGGAACCTCCCCCCACCATGCCTCTTTCCCTGAGGCCCCACCCCTTGCCCGCTCATCTCCCCCACACCCCCGTCACTCCCTGCTCTCTTGCCCCCCCTTCTCCATCACTGGATCCTCTCCAGCTTTTCTCCCCCCCCCCCCCCGGAGTTTAAGCAAAGTGAATGAAGGTACAATATGCTTTGCCTTTATGTGTCCATATACTTCCTTTCTGCTGAACAAGAAAACAATCATGTGGGCCAATTATCCACTTCCAAGAAATGCAGGCATAACCATGCATGAGACTTTTCCCCATAAATGAGCCTAGTTTGATGCTTCATAACCCCAGATCATTTTTGACCACTCAGTGCATGGCACTTTCTAAAGGCAGACCTTAATTACATTTATTACTAAATCATGTCTTAATCTGATGAATGAGTGTTTAATTTCTTTGGCATCCAAAAATCAAAGACTTCTGGACATGGTAACAATCTGTACATAATAGTCAAATTATAAAACAAAGCTATATATTGTGCATATAGCGGAGCAGGATTAGAATTAAAATCCTTGAGATTTCAATATCTGCAGAGAAGAAAAGATGCATAACTTCCAATAACTACAATAGAAAAGTTTCAGAGTAGCAGCCATGTTAGTCTGTATCCGCAAAAAGAACAGGAGTACTTGTGGCACCTTAGAGACTAACAAATTTATTAGAGCATAAGCTTTCGTGGGCTACTGCCCACTTCTTCGGATGCATATAGAGTGGAACATATATTGAGGGGATATATATACACACATACAGAGAGCATGAACAGGTCGGAGGGTTTTTTTTTCTCTTATTTAATTGGCCTCTCAGAGTTGGTATGACAACTCCCACCTGTTCATGCTCTCTGTATGTGTGTATATATATCCCCTCAATATATGTTCCACTCTATATGCATCCGAAGAAGTGGGCTGTAGCCCACGAAAGCTTATGCTCTAATAAATTTGTTAGTCTCTAAGGTGCCACAAGTACTCCTGTTCTTTTTACAATAGAAAAGTCATGTCTAAGGCTCATCTCACTGTGCTGAAGAGAGAGGAGGGTTGGGGGCTTTTTGGTTTATTTTTATTTTTGTTTTTGTTTTGCCTTCATCTATCACTAGTCCTTAAATTCTACTTTGGGATCTGCTAATTCTTAAAATATTGAGAGAAGTCAAAATATCTCAACATTGTGCCAGGTTGCATATTGTGCTAGCTATCTAATAGGAAGCTTTACAATAAACATATAGAATGACTGAGACAAATAATTCCTTTATGAATTCACTGTGGCAATTTCAAACTTCAGGAAATTTGCTGTTTAAGAAAGCTGGCAAAGGTTTAAAAAGTTCAGCTAATACTAGTTGAAACTGCAGCATTCTGAATTTACGAGGGTTATTCCTGACATGTGCCTTTAAAGAGTTGTGTTCATGTTTGTTCTTGCTTGCAATCTGAGTTACATAAATTGCTACGCAGGCACAAGATAATGTTCTCAAATAGATTTATTGGCCCATTTATTTATAGCGCTATAATCTGCCAGAAGATCGTGGAAAAAACTTTATTAAGCTGTGAATGTCACCTCCCTTGGGCCTACAGGGTGCCAACAACTCAGGCCGATCAAAAAGAGGACCTGGCTGTGTCTGGTCAGCACTGCTGACAGGACACTAAAAGTCCAGTTCCCAATCGGTCTCTGCACCAAGAAGGTGGGAAAAGCAGCTGCCTGGAAAGGCTGCAGTTCAGCTGGAGACATAGGTGTTGGAACTAGAGGTGCTGAAGCACCCCCTGGCTTGAAGTAGTTTACATCGTACACAGGTTTTCCAGTTGGGTTCAGTGGCTCTCACCACCCTCACTATACAAATTCTTCCAGCACCCCTGGCTGGAGAAAGAGAGAACTGGCTCCGAAGGACCCGGTTCCAGCAGAGAGAGATAGGTACACCACCCCGGAGGCGATCCTGTCCCTTCCCCAGCCCGACTGTGCTTCCCCCCGGCTCCTGCCTCACTCTGGGGACCGACCCCCCCAAGCCCACCCCCGGCACAACCGATGAACATCTGGATGCATATCCGAGCCAAATTTTGAGTTTCATCCATCACTCATTATCATTTGTGGTGGCCTATTTGCACTTTAAACAAGAAGCTACTTAATAATTTCAACACCATTACTGCTGTCGTGATCGAGCACAGGGAAACAAAAGAATAATAATAACCAGGGCCGGCTCCAGGCACCAGCCGAGCAAGCTGATGTTTGGGACGGCAGCTTGTAGGAGGAGGCATTCCGCCCAGTCCTAGGGCGGCACGGCTGCTTTTTTTGTTTTTTTGTTTGTTTGTTTTGTTGTTGTTCCACTCTGGCCGCCCTGTAGGGGGCAGCGGCGGGGAGGCCAGGAGCGCCCTGCAGCAAGCCCGTCAGGGCAGCCCGCGTCCTTCCCTCCCAGATGACCGGAGTGGTGAGGAGCCCTCCCGGCAGGGGGCACGGCGGGAGGGGCCGCGTGGCAGCGCCCCGCTGAAACCCTGGCCGGCCCCCGTCTCTCTCTCCCCCCACTCCCTCCTCCTCCCCCTCCCTAGCCGGGGCACATCTGCAGGGCAGGGAGTCCCCCTGCACCCTGGCTCCAGCCGCGCGGCAGGTTGTTTTTTTTTGCTTTGCTGCTCTGGCCGCCACGTTTTTTGTTTGTTTTTTTTGCTTGGGGCGGCCAGAAAGCCAGAGCCGGCCCTGATAATAACTGCTGTGAAATGAGTTATAGCCTTTCAACATTTATAAACATTATTGGTTTGTTACACACTCTCTCTCGTTCCAGTTACATTCATCTTTTCCACACAAGGAATACAAATTTAGGCTATATTTTCCAGATGACTTTGCTTCCTTCTTATCGCCTTTCACCACATAACGTTCTGTAGCTTTAAGAAAATTAATGTTTCCAAGTATAAATGTTTGTCTGAGTTAGCAAAGCTAGTACTGAGTTGATGACACCTTTTATGCCCAAGGGTGAGGACAGTCACAGCTTTCTAGCCTTTTTTTCCCCAATTTCCCAGCAGATTATAGCGTTATAGATAAATGGGCCAATTAATCATTTTGAAAACATTATTTTCCATATGCATAGCACCTTATGTAACTCAGCTTGCAAGCAAGAGCAAACATGAACACAACTCTTCAAAGGCATATGCGAGAATAACCCTCATAAATTCACAATGCTGCAGTTTCAACTAGTATTAGCTAAACTTTTTAAACCTTTGCCAGCTTTCTTAAACAGCAAATTTCCTCTTGCTGAACAGGGTCTCCATTTGACTCAAATGAAGTTTGAAATTGCCACAGTGAATTCATAAAGGAATTATTTGTCTCAGTCATTCTATATTTGTATTGTAAAGTTTCCTATTAGATAGCTAGCACAATATGCAACCTGGCACAATGGTGAGATATTTTGACTTCTCTCAATATTTTAAGAATTAGCAGATCCCAAAGTAGAAATTAAGGAATAGTGATAGATGAGGGACACCCCCCCTACACACACACACACACACAAAGAACCCAAACCTCTTCAGCGCAGTGAGAAGAGCATTAGACACGACTTTTCTATCGTTACTGGAAGTTGTGCATTTTATCCTCTCTGCAGATGTTAAAATCTCAAGGATTTTAATTCTAATCCTGCTCTGATATATACAAAATATATAGCTTTGTTTTATAATTTAACTATTAGGTAGAATTTGTTACCATGTCCAGAAGTCTTTGATTTTTGGATACCAAAGAAATTAAACACTCATTTATCAGATTAAGACATTATTTAGTAATAAATGTAATTAAAGTCTGGCTTTAAAAAAGTGCCATGCACTGAGTGGTCAAAAACTGTATGGGGTTGTGAAGGATCTAGGTTCATTTATGGGAAAAGTCTCACGCATGGTTATGCCTGCATTTCTTGGAAGTGGATAGTTGGTCCACATAAACATGTTTTCTTCTTTATCAGGTTTATCAGAAAGGAAATATATGGGCATATAAAGGCAAAGCATACAGTGACTTCATTCACTTTGCTTAAACCCCTGGAGGGGGAGGAAGGGGAGAGGATCAAACGATGGAGAAGGGAGGGGGGAAAGCAGGGAGCCACAGAGGTGGGCGGGGAGAGGAGCAGGGAGGGGGTGAGGCCTCAGGGGAAGAGTCAGAGTAGGGGAAGTTTCCAGCACTCCTGCCGTAGTGTCCGGTTTTCAGAAATTGGAAAGTTGACAACCCTATTTAGGATGGGGGTGGGTCGGTCCCTGGAGCGAGGCAGGGTCTTGGGGCAAGCACACTGGGGCAGGGCAGACAGAATCCCCACCGGGGCAGCACAGTGCCGGTACCTACCTCTCTCCACCAGAACCGGGTCCTTGGGAATCAGTTCTCTCTCTCTGTCCAGCTGAGTTGCAGCTCCTCCAGGCAGCAGCTGCTCTTCCTGTCCTCCTGGAGGGGAGGCTGATTGCGGTTACTCCATAACTGGACTTTTAGTGTCCAGTCAGCAATGCTGACTGGAGACTGCCAGGTCCCCTTTTTGACTGGACTTTCCGGTCGAAAACTGTTCGTCTGGCAACCCTACTGATGGGAAATGTAGTCCCTGCTAGCCAGTAGAAAGGGGATGTACAGTGGGGAGGAGGCTGATGGGATTTGTAGCTCCCGGCTTTGCAGAGTCATCACAGTGAGTTTAACACCTGGAAAGAAGAAAACAGAAGCGGGTCCCCCTTCCTCTGCAAGCAAAAACGACTCCTTCCTCTGGGCCTCCAAGGGCACTAGAGGTTCACTCCTCTTCATCAATTTTTTTGGCCTGCTGGGAACTCTAAATAATAATTTTTAAAAGATTGTTTCAGGTCTGTCATAGATTGTACTCTAGGGCGCCCTTGAGGTGAGCATGGATGCTTCTCTCGTCGCAGGTGTGGGTGCTGCTGTAGCACTGGTTTGGAGTAGGGTGACCAGCTGTCCTCGTTTTCCCAGGATGGTTCCTTTTTTTTTAGGGAACTGTCCCAGGAAATCCATACATCTCCCCGGGACATCCGAACTTTTTGTCAGTCATCCTCTGATGGCTCCTCTCAGCCACTAGAGCCGGTGGTGAAGGGAGCCAGGGGGTAGCGGCACCGGCGCAGGGGGAGCTCTGGCTCTGGGCTGTCTGGGAGCTATGGGGATGGGGCACCTCGGGAGCAGTGAGCAGGACAGGGAAAGCTGGGGGTGGGCAGTGCCCAGTCACCACCGCGTAGGTATTGCCTGCATGGAGGTCACTGCTGGATGGGAGCGAGGTGGATCCGGCCAGCACTGCAGCCTGCTTGGTGAGGTTGGTGCCTGGGGCAGCCCTGTGAGCAGGACTCCACGGAGGGCGGGGGGGGGGGGGAGCAATCAGTAGCACGGTGTGTATGTGGTGAGGTGTGGGGCACGCGGCTGTCCCAGCGTTTTGCCCCTCAGAGGTGAAACCCTCGTTCGGAATGCAGGGCGCAGTCTCCTGGCTGGAAGCCACCACTGCGTTATCGGCAGGGCCGCAACCCAAAAGAAGTAAAAAACAAACAAACTAATCCTGCAACCCAAAAGGCAAATGATGAATAGTCTCGGTGAAACTGGCAGGGTTCCTAACCCCCAAGTATCTGAGGGCCCCAGGCTGCGCACCCTGGGCTCTACCGAAAAAGCAAAGGAAAGCTGGTCCCTCAACCTCTACAGGGGGTCTTGTCAGCAGACGTTCTTCAGCAGCTTTCTGGGTAAGCAGCCCCTGCTCAATAGGGCTAGGGAGCTCTGTTCTGTAGCTCTGCTTCCCTCTGAGGATATGTCTACACTGCACACTAAGCCCAGGCCCTGACTTGGTTTGAGCCCAGGCCTCCTTTCTGTCCACACACAAATCAGTCTGACTTGGGTCAGCAAGCACTCAGGACCTGAGTCCCAGGATCCTGCAGGAGGGGTGGGGGGTTCAGAGTCCTGCTGTGACTCAGGCCCAAGCTGTGTAGACGCAGCTCAAGCCATAGACCTGCATCAGGTGGCCTGCATAGTGCAGCATGGATGCGTTAGCATGGGTGTGAGACCCAGGTCCAGCAATTGCATGCACCAGTTTGGAATATCAAGTGCACAAGTCCAGGTGCCACAGACCCAGGTTTACAAGGCAGTGTAGACATACCCTGAACGCCATCCAGCACTGAGCAGGGATCCTCCCTTGCCAGGGCCTGCCCAACACCAGGCTTGAAAACCTTACAGGTGTGCTGAGTTGAGGCAGATTGTGCCCAGAGGAGCTCTTTAACCCTTCCCTGACTGTGTTGGGGAGTCTGCCCCGTCAAACTGAAAATGAACATTTCCGGAGTTTTCAGCACATCACAAAGTGAAAAAGAAGTCGTTTCACTCCGAACGGCCCATTTTGTTTTGACCACATCAAACAGCTTCATTGAGACGGCGGCCATTTAAAAACATTTTGGACAGTTCTTTAAATAAACGTAAAGGACGTTTTGAAACTGAAATTTGTTTCAAATCAAAAAAATTAAAACGGTTCGTTTCGAAAATGTCAACACAACACACAGACTTTTTTCTGAATTTATTTTTATGTTTGGTTCGGTTTTGCAACGGAAACAACTCAGCAAAACCGACACGAATCTGCAAAATCTGTCACCAATCTGCATTCTTTACCGAAAGATGTTTTGGCTGAAAATTTCACGCAAGTCACGTAATGTGGTCTACTGCGC